AATGCCATCCGTGACCCTCATGGTGGGTGAGGAAATACATCATACCTTTCCGCTCCTGTACTTCATCCCAGTCCCAGTCTCCTACTACAAAATGGGACACGCAGAATACCTGAGGAGCGCAGGGTGAGAAACAGTGCTTGACCTCCCTCCAGAGTAAACCCCCACGATCCCTGCCCCAATTCGCTCTTCTCTGAATATCGATTTCTGAGGACAGCACTGTATTTGAAGATTAATTTTGGAAGATTAATCTCTTGATAATACTAGGTCTTCCTATTAAGATTAAAAGATGGCTTTCTAGTGTTCAGATTTTTAAAGATATACTGATTTTTCATAGTAAGTTATATCTAGATTACCAGATCATTGTCTCATGGGTCCTTTTTAAACCAAGCAAATAGGAAGCAAAGAATAATGATGAAATAAGAACAGAAACAAAACTAAATTCTGAAAAACAGAAATTATCTATGTTCTGTCTCCTGCAGAAGTTTTCATTCCCCATCCTAGTCATCAATCAAAATGTAAAGAACACTTACTCAGGGCTGTCTGGATATCTTTTTCCCCGTTTTTCACCTCTGTTAAAAATCCCTTCAAAAATTTGAGACCTCTAAAAAAAAAGGAGAGAGGAACAAATATTAATTTTAAAGTTTACCAATGATGAGTAGGAATAAAGAAATGGGAGACACCAGGCTTTTATTTCAGTAATATCTTGGGCACAGCAGGCAAACAGATCAAATAACATAGTAGCCTTTTGTTTCTTTAGAGAGAGATTTTTGCTATTGGGCACATGCACTTGCTAGAGAGACAGAAAGCGAGAAATCACCCCCCAGGGGGTGGCCACGCCACAATCCCTTCTCCTCCATTCTCCTCCCAGGATCTTGGGCACACACGCACACATGCCCAGCGTGAGTTTTAAGCTGCTGGGTCCGGGACTTGAATCGTGGTCAACTACGTGAGAATCCAACGATGAAACCATCATGCCATCTGCTGGTCCCTGTGGTGGCCTTTTCTGAGGTTTTCCTCGGTTATCTCCCTCTGGCTTGTTCTGACTCTTCCCTCCCCTGATCTGTCGAAAACAGCAGTTTTCATAATGTGGTCCCAAGAGCAGCAACTCCAGCATTACCTGAGAATTTGTTCATTTACTTAATCAGAAATTCTGGTCCCAGACCTCCAGGTGATTCTCATGCCATTGAACTTAGAGAGCTGCTGGCTTAAAAAGAAACCAGTCGACTCTGCTGTCCTTTCAGATTCCTATCTCAGAAATACTATGTTTTTTAAGACAGGGTCTTACCATGTCACAACCTTCTGGCCTCAACCTCCCAGCTGGCCTGACAGGCATATGCTACCATACACAGGTCTTTTTTTAGACAGGGTCTCACGAGTTGCCCTTGTCAGCCTGGACTTCACGTGCTCCTGCCTCAGCCGCCCTGAGCTGGAATTAGAGACTACCACGTCTGGCCTGCAGGTTGGACCAGAAGCCAAACTGAGACCCCCCCACACACAGGAGCCCACTGTCTTAGCACTGCATGCCACCATGACTGGGCCCCACCATTAACAGCATCTGCCACCCTCAGGAAGGCAGCCAAAGGAAAAAGAGGTGGTGTTCTATTTACCGGGCTTTCGAAAACAGGCCACACATTTGGTTAGCTCCTTCACTCAGGAGCTGTCTGCATAAGTTTGTGCTGGTAACATCTCCACTGAGCTGGGTTTTAACTGCTGCCACACCCCACTGCCTCACCTCTTCAGCCACAAAAGGGCTTCGGTAGCAGAGTTCCTAACCCGGGCCACGTCGGCCTCCACTTCGTGCAGCACTATTTTCTGGAGCGTAGTAAACTCTTCCTTGTTGGTTATGTATTTCTGATTTACTTTCTAGAAGAAAAGCAGGGAAATGATCTAAGTTTAAAATGTAGTTATCAAGCACATTAGTATAGAATTGTGACTTACAAGCTTGGCAAGTAGTCTCTGAGAAAGAAAAATAAATTAAGATCCTATTAACCTCTTCCTTGTATTTTCAAAGTAACTGTTGTTTGAAAATTCTATAAAGCTTAGGCTGGAATGAAATAATCTTAAGGTTTTGAAGTATTATTCTTTAAGATTTATTTTTTTTTTGCTTCTCTTACAGATAACTCGGCAGATATTTCTCACCCTAAGCATAAAACTCAATCATTTGTTTAAATGAGATTTCATGCAACTATTCCCCCTCCAATATGTATACAGTAAAGAAAGGCATGTTTATGGGAATTATTTACATTGCGTCCACAAAGAACACTACCTAATGACAAAGACAGATTTTTACCGAGTATTATATTCTAAAGAACTTAACATTCAACCTATAGTTAAAAGGGAATCCAAACTTCAAAGCTGGAAGTCATTATGGACACAACTCCCTCATTCACTGGGAAAAAACAGGCTCAGAGGGATTCAGTGACTTGCTGATGGACCTGCAGCTGCACCTAGAAGTTGGGTCTTATGTCCTAGAATACTGATAGCTACTTAATATACTTTTCGGAAAAATGACACTTGTCATTGTTTAAACCTAAAAATCACAGAATCGGGGCCAGCAGATGGCACGGCTCCCACAAGGCCAACCAGGGTTTGAGTCCCGAACCCAGTGGCTTCAAACTCATGCTGAGCACTTGTGCATGCCCAAGATCCCGGGAGGAGACTGAAAGAAAAGGGATTGTGGCATGGCCATCCCCCAGGAGGTGATTTCTCACTCTCCCTTTCACTGTCTCCCCGACCCACACACACACACACATCCCCAGTGTCTATACCCCAAGGCAAAAATCTCTAAAAAGAAAAAAAATCACAGAACCCACATTGACAAAAGGGTGAAACCCTACTGATTCAGTCTCTGGGCATTAAAAAGAAATCCTGGTTTCATTTTTTTTTTTTTTTTTTTGGAGAGGTTTTTTCGCTATAGGGCGCGTGCGCTCGCCAGACAGACAGAGACAGACATAGAGACAGAAAGTAAGAAATCACCCCCCAGGGGGGATGGTCATGCCGCAATCCCTTCTCCTCCATTCTCCTCTCGGGATCTTGGGCACACACGCCTGGTGTGAGTTTTAAAGCCACCGGGTCCGGGATGCGAACCACAGTCTACTACATGGGAGTCCAGCGACATAGCCATTACGCTAACTGCTGGTTCCCCTGGTTTCATTTTTATAATGAATATTCTATTCCCTAGAAAGCCTGCTTCTAGCATGCAATAAGGGCTTAGTTAATAATTTCCCTACTTGCTGTCTTAATGAGCTGTAATAAAATTTTCCCTTTATTGATTTATTCTTGTCACACATAAAAGTATCAAAAATATTTTCCTTTAGTTAAGTTTCCACAGACACAACCTAGTATACGCACCTTAATATTTCCAACAAGATCCATTTTAACAGGTGCAAACACTGTAGGGCCAAGTTTATCTAGAGGAAAGGATCAAATCCATTTTAAAAAGCAATTTTTTCAAGTATTTTTACAGCAGCAATAAACTTAGCAGGTCTTTTCACCAACAACTTTAAATTTTGCTTCTAAATCATACTCTAAACGTCAGCTTCAACAGCTTCCAGGGTACTATTTATCACCCTTCCGCATCACACTCCTCTGAGGTGAGTAACTGCAATGAGGTCTTTAGTGGCAGGTGAGAAAAGATCGTCTTGGAGTTACGTACTATAACCCTTAAGGCTGCACTGTCCGATGTGGCAGCTGCTAGAGACGTGACTATTTAGTACCTGCCGGGTGGCCTGTCCAAATGGAAATGTACTGTGGCAGAACATACATGAGTTCTCAAAAAACTTCACACAAATGCGTACTGCTAAGAGACTATGCATGGATTCCTAATTTCTTTGCACCAAAATTAACTTTTATACACATTCTTTTTTTTTTTTCATTTTGCCAGAGGGCACATGTGCTCACCAGAGAGAGACAGAGAGAGAGAAAGAAAGAGAGAGAGCATAAGTAGGGAAGTGAGAAAGCACTCCCATGGGGCACGATCACATCGTAGTCACTTCTCCATTTTGCCCTCTTTCAGGGATTTTGGGCATGCGCATGAGCGCTCGTGCCCAGTGAGTTTTTTCAAGCTGCTGGGTCTGGGACTTGTCTGGGACTTGAACTATGTCAGGCATGTGGGATCTACCAGTCACAGGTTGGCCCATAATCTTATATTTTAATTCCATTTTACCATGAATTAAAAAAAAAAAAATTCATAAGCAAAAGAGACAGAGAGGGAGAGAGAAATGGAGAAAGCACACTCCTACCCTTAGCTATGGACACACAAGTACCCGGCATACTCGGGGAGGTCTCCAGATACAAATTCTATGAACCTTTAGAAGTACAGATTTTGAAGACTTAGAAAAATTTTTTTAAAAAAAGGTAAAATAGCTCATTAATCACTTTTATATTAATTAGTTGTTGAGATGGTATTTGGGATAGTTAGGTTAAATGAAAAAAACATTAAAATTAACTCCGGGGGCCAGTAAGTACCATGGTGGTTAGGGTGCTGGAATCCCACGTGGCTGACTGCAGTTTGAGTCCCAGACTTGACAGCTTGCTTTCTCATTTTCTATTTCTCTGTCTCTCTGGTAAGCACATATGCCCTACAACAAATTAAAAGTATTAGTAATAAAAAATAAAATTAAAATAATTATTTTTTAAAAGCGACCTTCTGTTTTACTATATATAGGTATCTATAGATATACCTATAGATATAGATACACACACACACGTATCTGTATGTTTATATACAGAGAGAGGGCAAAAGTGGAAAATCACCCCCTAGTGGGGATGGCCACTCTGCAATCTCTTCCCCTCCATTCTTTTCTTGGGATTTTAGGTATGCACACACATGCACCTGGAGTGATTTTTTAGCCAGGTCAGGGACTAGAACCACACAACTGGTCATGTGAGAATCTAGTGCCTCTAACCACCATGCTACCCGCTGGCTCCTGTTTTACTATGTTAATATCCTACTAGAAAACTTAAAATTACATATGTGATTCAAAAATTCTTGTTGGGTAAAGGCAACAATTAAAAAAAATAGTATAGCTAAAAAGCCAAAGGAGAACAAATAATGAGATTCTAAAAGATTTTATCTAGAAGAAAGGCAGAAATAAAGACCAACAGCTAAAGTGCCAAAAGAGGAGATAGAACAGTTAAAAGTAATTGACTGGGGGACCAGCAGGTGGCCTCATGGTTAGGGGTACTGGACTCCCACATGGACGATTGCAGTTCAAGTCTTGGACCTGGTGGCTTGCTTTCTTGCTCTCTCTCTCTTGCTCTCTCTCTCTCATACTCTGTCCCTTTCTGGTCAAATGAAAATAAATAAATAGTTAAATAAAATAATTCTTTAAAAAAAACTTGACTGGGGCCAGCAGGTAGCATGATGATTAAGGTGCTGGATTCCCATATGACTGACCAAGTTCAAGCCCCAGACCTGGCAGTTTGAAAAATCATGCTGGGTACGTGTGCATGCATGCTCAAAATCTCAGGAGGAAATGCAGGAGAAGAAATTACAGTGTAGCCATCCTCCCTGGGTGATGATTTCTCATTTTCCCTCTCTCTGTCTCTCGTTATGGGGAGTGCATGTGCCCTATGGAAAGAGACAACAACAAAAATTGATTAATTAGTTAAAAGTTAAGAAAGGAGTAAAATAAAAAGAGAGAACAGACAAAAATAAACAGCAATGTGGTAAAAACAAATAGCAAGATATAGTAATTCACTATATTAACAAGTTACAGGGGAAAATTATTTTAATAAAGAAGAAATTCTTTTTAAGAATTTTATTTAACTATTTATTCATTTACCTTCATTTGACCAGAGAGGGACAGATTAAGAGTGAGCAAGAGAGAGAGATGCAAAGTGAGAGAGTAAATAATTAGAAAATGAAATAAAGTAAACTATAAAATATGGGGCCAGTAGGTGGTGTAGTGGTTCAGGTGTTGAACTCCCACATAGAGAGAGAGAGAGTAAATATCAGTAAATAATTAGAAAATGAAATAAAGTAAACTATAAAATATGGGGCCAGTAGGTGGTGTAGTGGTTCAGGTGTTGAACTCCCACATGGCTGACCACGGTTTGAGTCCTGGATCTGGTGACTTGCTTTCTCACATTCTTTCTCTCTTTCTCTCTATCTCTGGTCAAATTAAAAATAATAATAATAATAAATACATTTTTAAAAAAACATAAAATTCTAAAATTTATTTGTAATAAAGGGGGCCAACCTTATGGCCTGGTGGCCAATCCTGGCCCCAGCCATCAGTTCAAATCCTGGCCCCAGCAGCTTGAAAATGGCCAGGTACGTATGTGTGTATGCCACAAATCCTAACAGGATGGAGAAATAGAAAAGGGATTGTAGCCAAGGCCCAAGAGGGAGTTCTCTCTCTCTCCCTCTGGCAAGTGCATGTGTCCTCTCGCAATTAAAAAAAAGAAAGAAAGAAAAAAGAAAGGAGAGATAAATGTATTTATTGTACTAAAACACTTTTGAGAGAAAATAATGCAGAGATACAGCATGCTCATGACTGAAGACACAAAATGTAAGATATTAATTTTCTTAGTTTACAGACACAATGTAATCTTAATTTAAATCTCGAAAGACTTTTTTTAGTAGAAATAAAAGCAAAAATTTATAGGACCTAGAATTGCCAAAACAATCTTGAAAAAGAACAAAATTAGAAGACTTACATTATCTGATTTCAAGCTTTATATTATAGTTATTAAGACACTGTAGTATTGGCATAAGGAAAAATAAACTGAGTATTGGAACATAATAGAGTCCAGAAATAAACACACATTCAAGGTTAACTGATTTTCAACAAAACTACCAACGCAATGTGAAAGGGATAACAATGGTTCTTGAATGGTCAGACAACATAAGGGAAAAATAATGAACTTCAACCTTCTATGTCATACCATGTACAAAAAAAAGAGAAATGAAAACATGGCCATAGACACAAAAACATTCAGAGCAATGTCATTTATAATAACCCCAAACTAGAACTACCCAAATGACCATCAACAGTAAATAAACAAGTTATGGTATATTTATTTACAGGGCTACTTCTCAGAAATAAAGAGGAATAAATTACTAATACAAGAATAGATCTTGAAAACATATTTAGCAAGAAAAGGCAGATACAACAAAATATGTAAACTATGAATCTATTTATATGAAGTTTTAGAATAGGCAATATTAACTTATGGCAACAAGTCAATCGAATGGGTGCCTCAGATTGGGTGGTGAGTTAGGGGATGACTGGCACAGGAATGTTCTGGAGTGACGAAAATATTCTGTGTCTTCATAGGGATGTGGATTACGAAAGTGCATTTGTAAAAATTCACTGAATCATAACACTTAAGTCCTATGCAAGTTATACCTCAGTTAAAAAATATGCATTGTTAAATGGGTCATATAGTAAATTCTAAACACATGAGTGATCCCTGGTCTTACTATTATTGTTATATTCCATCTTCCTTCATTATCTCACCTTGGACTACAAAGCAGAAGACTTAAATAAATTTATACATTATGAATATATATATATACACACACACACACACACACACATATATATACATATACACACAGTTTACATATATATTTTATCTTCCGTATCTGTTTTTTCCAGCGAGAAGGTGTATGTGCTAACCAGAAGAAGGGGGAGAAGAGAAAGTACTTCCATAGGGAATGGTCACACCATGATTCCTGCTCCTCCACCTCTCTCTGTTTTAAGGATTTGGAGCCTGCACACACACACGCTTGTGCCTGGCATGCTTCTCAAGCTACCAGGTCCAGGACTAAAACTGCAGTCAGCCATGTGTGAGATTGCTGCCTCCATGAGCAGGCCAGGGAGCTGGTCCAGTATCTTTTTCAGAGTACCAACAGATTTGAAGGCCTGTTCCTGTTCCTCAACTACATTCATCTGTGCTTTTCAGAAAGTAGAATCCTCTTTTTCTATTACACTACTTCAAAGTCAATATTTAATCATTAGTAGAAATGAGAATATACAATAATGCCTAATGATTTAATTGTAAGTGGCTGCTGATTTGAAGAGGTAGCTAAGAAGAAAGGACATCTCATTGTACACGTGGATCAGGATATTTTTCCTACAAAATGATTGCAGTGACACAGATCCCAGGGACCAATGAATATAAGGCAACTGCAGCAATCTTACCTAGTACCGGAACCACAGCATAACATGATGCCAAGAATGCTTCTGTGGGAATGCCACTGTCTTCCAGAAGTTCAATGTCACTGAAGCTAAGCAATTTGGTAATACGGAGGAGGAAAGATGGAAAATACAACATCAGTACTCTGTCTTTCAGAGGTAGCCACAGAAACAGCTGCTCTTCTGTTTGGCTTGATTTCATGAATACATCCCAGTGACTGTTTTCTAGCATAAATGATCTAATAAAATCACTTTCCAAAAATAATCCACTGAAGCAAGGTAAAACTTGCTCATAGGGTACACCCTCGCAATCTCATTCCTTTTCACTCACTGTTGAACAAGGTAAATAGGAAAGCAGGTACATACTTGGTAGACCATAGTCTCTATTCTCTTAGACTATGCCCTCACCTGAATAAAACACCACAACTTATTTTCCAGAAGAGAAGCTAAGATCTAACTGCCAGTGATTTTTAGAAGGTCTAGAATACCTGGTGTTCATGGTACTGAAGAAAGTTGGGATAACTTCTTTGCCTTCTTCCCGGAGGGATTCTGAAGAGTAACTTGAGGAATCCGATCCATGCTGAACCAAGGAGCTGTCATGATTTCCCAGGTCTTCCCCTCTATCTTCCTTCATTATTTCACCTTGGACTGCAAAGTAGTAGATACCCATTACTAACCTATTATATATTCATCATAAAAATACATATTCATTGTGGAAAATTTCTAAACTGAGAGAGTATAGGGAAATAAAAGTCTGTGAAATATTGTACCCATATGCAAATGCATACAAATACATGAAGCTAGGTTTACGGTATATGTAGATTTGGGGCCAGCTGGTGGTACGGTGGCTAAGGTGCCAGATCCCAAGTGGCCAACAGTGTGGTTCAAGTCCTGGCAGCTTAAAAAACATACCAGGAACATGTACAAGCATGCCAGAGCCCCAAAAGGAAGAAGACATGGAGAAGGGATTACAGATGACCATCCCCTATGGAGGGTGCTTTCTCTTTTCTCTCTCTGTCTCTGGTGAGCACATTCGCCCTCTGGCAAATTTTAGAAAGTATATGTAGATTTGTATCCTGTATTGTATATCACGAATATTTTCACTATTATTCAATATTCTTCAAAACATGATTTTAATGACCATGTACTACTGTGCATGTCCATGTGGAGGACATTTAGGTAGTTTCCAAAATGTTACTGTTTATAAACATAGTTGATCTTCATTACTAACATATTATTCTATACTTGAGAATTTGCCTACTTATTAAAATTTATTTGTAACCATAAAAATCAATACAGCCCTTTTAGAGTCATCCATGAACACACGCTGAGTGCTGAAAAACTTGCTACCTGACACACACGCTCTCATCCGAGGTGGAACAAAGCAATACTCTGCTCTCTTGTCTCAGCTCTCATCCTATCAGCAACTGTCCTTATGCCATGGTTTTTCGTGTTGTTGATTTTACTGTTTAAAAGAACCCCAAAATGTAGTGCAGTCTGGCATTCGTGAGCATAAGAAGGCTGTGATATGTCTTAGGGACAAAATATGTGTTAGATCATCTTCGCTTGGGCATAGATTTTACAGTGCTCTTGGCTTTGAGGTCAATGTTATGAATCAACAATATATATTAGATAGGGTAACTTTAAACAGAAACAGACATAATATAAGGAACCTAATCCTGTATTTCTCTTAGGAGCAACAGAATTTGACAATTCAGTGTTTATGGTGCTACCATAAAACATAACCACTGCAAATAATGAGAACTAATTATAATATGACAAATAACATCCATACCCAGAGATCTTTGTCCTTAAATCTGACTAATCTCTTAAGACAAATTCCTAGAAGGAAAATTATTGGGCAAAAAAAATGACAGAACTGGGTCAGCAGGTGGCATGGTGATTAAGGCACTAGATCCTATAGGTCCGACCCCATGGTTCACATCCTGGACCTAGCAGCTTTAAAAACACACCTGACACATGTTCAAGCATGCCCCAAATCCTGAGAGGATGATGGAGGAGAAGGGATTGGGTCAGGGCCATCCCTCTAAGGGTGATTTCTCACTTTCTCTCTGTCTCTGTCTCTCCCTGGCAAGAGTATAACCCCTATAGCAAAAATCTTAAAAACAAAAACACAAAACTGTTTTGACAGAAGTTCCCCAGACGTGGGCCAGACAGTGGTACAGTGGGATCCATACGGAAAGTGCCAGGCTCACGTCCCGCAGCCCTCCTCTGCATACTGGGCATGTGCATGTATGCCCACCACCTGGAGGTGGGAATGGATTGTGGCAGGAGGACTCTGTCGAGGGTTCCCATCTGTCTTTCTCTCCGTGTCTCTCTTGTTCATGAAGAAATAAACTTTAAGGGCCAGCAGGTGGCAAGGAGGGTAGTGCTCTGGATTCCTACACTGCTGAACACTGTTCGAGTCACAGACATGGTGGCTTGAAAATCATGCCAGGCATGAGTACGTGTGTGTCCAGAATCTCAATAGAAGAATGGAGAAGGGATGGTCATGCAGCATGGTCATCGGGGGAGGATGATTTCTCACTTTCCCTTTCACTGTCTCTCTCTGTCTCCCTCCTGCGAGTGTACCTGTCCTATGGCAGGTACATTTGGAAAAAGAGAAAAAAAGATGTTCTCAGGTCCTTATTATTTACTCAAGAGATTTACTTCAAAGATGTGTGGACTGCTCTGCTCAAGTAAGAAAATCATCTTAATTTTCCTCAGCTCACCTAGGAATAAAAGAGTCTAGCTTTAGGGTAGATGAGAAAATTTCTTTTTAATTTTATTTTTAAATGATGACTACTTGTACCAAAATTAAAAGCACTAATATGGTTGTCTTTGACTGAACTGAAGTAGGTTTTAGTGAAAAGCATCAAATAGCAAATTCGAAAGGGCAGGGTTTCTCAGGACAGATTTCTTACCTGAATTGGGGGACTATGTCTCAATGAGCACCCATTAGACTGGGTGAAAATCTGCTGGTGGCTGGTAGATACTGACCTCCTCAAGCCTCCCTAGAGACCAGGAGGATGAAAAACTGCACTGCCATAATCTTACATTCTGCCAGATTAACACTACAGTCTAAATTCAAAGGACTTTGAGATAACCCCTGAAAAAAGTCAGCACAGACAGCCTCTGCTCCCTGCCACCCACAAGCATCATCGACCCAGAACACTGGGTGGAAAACTTCCTCTTTTATCTGCCTTCTCAACATGGGTCAGCGGGGATGAGATGGTGTTCAGCTGAGCAATCCGTCTTACTGAGTCAACATCCTCCTTAGGACACTTAGTGTACTGATGTGAGGTTAATTCCTATCAACTGTCACATCGTAGATATGATCAAACTTTCAAACTGCCTATTGTTCAATGGTTTGCTTCAGACACTGCTTTTATTTTTACCTGTTATATTATCATCTGTGTTTTCTTCACTTGATATGCTGCAGTCTATCTCTGCAGATTTCAAATATATGGGGTTCTTATTTTTTATTAGGATTTCTTCATCACCATTTATTTCCATATTTAAAGATCCATTTTCACAATTGTTCAATTCCATTTGCCTGAAAAAAAATTTTAAAAGCCAGAAAGTCCAGTCATAACTAGTTTACCCAGGCAGATGTTATTCTAAGGGATGGGAGATGGGTTGACAATCATCCATTTCTTTTGACATTGATTAAAAAACAATGATTAAACTCGGGACCAGCAGTTAGCGTAATGGCTATGTCACTGGACTCCCACATAGTCAACCGCGGTTTGTGTCTCGGACCCAGTGGCTTAAAACTCACGTTGGGTGCGTGTGCGTGCGTGCCCAAGATCCCGAGAGGAGAAGGGATTGCGGTGTGGCCATCTCCTCTGGGGGGGGTGATTTCTCGCTTTCTGTCTGTCTGGTGAGTGCACATGCCCTATAGCAAAAACCTCTCAAAAAAAAAAATAAATAAATAAACCAAAAAACAAAGACAAAAACAAAACAAAACAAAACAAAAAACAATGATTAAACTAAGCCAAACCCCTAAGTCTCCCCCTCTAAGACAGATGTCGCCTGTGATGGGAATAGGCCAGCCTCAAGGCTGAAATTTAGAAAAGCAAAAAGCCATGACATGGCTCTCCCTGTACCTTCAGCAGAGAATCATTCTGCTCCACCGGCATCAGGAATAGTCACTGCCAGTCACGAGGTTTCACTAAGCTTTCTATAGGAGCCACATTTAACACTCTTTACCTCCTCCCTGGGAGGCTTTTTCTTTCTCTAAGCCACTGGCTGTTTCCATGTGTTTGCCCAGCAGAAACCACATGCTTTGGCCAGAGCAAAGTACATCTGAGAGAAAACAAAACAAAACGAGGACCACAATATATCCTAAAGGACCCGGGAGGGTAACAGAGAAAGCTATTCGACATGTACATGGACTAGCTGATTTTACTTATTAAGAGGATAATCCTAACATCTTACTAGAGGTGATTATACCTAGCCAAATTAGAAAAAAATATTCAAATAAAACTAGGTCCAAGCTACATGGTGACTCCAGGAAAAGCACCTGCTAGTTCCCCCTCCCCCCCCAAAAAAGCCAAATTTCAATGTAACGGTTCAAAATATAGATGAATATTGAAGCAATACCTCAAAAGAAGAAAAAAAAAATCTATGAAATCTACAAAGATGTTCCTAGTAGAAGGATTTAGAACAAAAGAAAACCAAAGTATGAGTAACTCAGAATAAGAAGCAACTGATAATAAATAAAGAGATGAACTATTAAATAATTGGAAAGGAAAAACACATGAATTATTTCAATACATGAGAATGCTTATATGAAGTAACTGCATAAAGACCCCAGTAACTATGAGAATGCAGTTTCTTAAAACTGAAAATTAGAGAAATAGTTTAGACTTGATATTAAGTAATAGTACTACTGTCTTTTCTGTATAAAAGAATACTTAAAATCAATACTTGGCTACTCTATAAAAGAAGTTACAAGCTTCAGTACACTCTAGAGATTAAGAGTTACGAGATGTGGGGGCCTCCAGGTGGCGTAGCAGTTATGGTGCTGGACTCCCACATGACTGACTGCAGTGGCTAGACTTGGTGGCTTGACAATCCCACATGACTAGACCTGGTGATTGAAAGTCACACTGGGCACGTGTGTGTGTGTGTGCCCACAATTCTTGGAGGAGAAGGGACTGCAGCATGGCCATCCACTCACTTTCCCTCCCACCGTCTCTGTTCTCTTCTGCGAGTGCATGCAACCTATGGCAAATACCTAAAAGAAAAAAAAAGTTTCTAGATGTGCTAGGTAAGATTCATATCCTCGAGAAAATGCGAACACCTTCCCTAGTAGTGTAAATGATAGGTCTATGTTGCTTCAGGCTCATTCAAAATAGGAAAGTCAGACACTACTTCCCTCAGCTATCATCTAGGAGCATGAGGAAACCACCAAAAGATCGAAATATATTTTAAAAATAAGGAATAACAATATTTTACTTTTTTGTTTTTAGAAAGGAGAAAAACAAAAATATTACTATACCTTTCTAATGAATTATGGATCGGAACAACAGGATGTTTCATCTTTAAAAGAAGCAAAAAAATTAAAGTTTACATGTTAAACATTCTACACAGCAAATACAACATTTTATCACAAATGAAAAGTGGTAAATATAACCATAACATACACTGTCCCACTCAACAGGAATAGTTTAAGGCCAACCCAGAAGGCAGTGAGAGATTCCAACTAGCCTTTCTTATTTACTCAAATAAAGATAGCCACATTTCTGAGAAGGAAGACAGCCTTTTGAAGGACTTTATTGAAGGACCTAATTGTCATAACCGAACTGTTGGTGATTAGCTTTCCTTTTATTTCAGTTATGCTCATTAAACAACATTAGCGAGGTCTCACGTGGCACTGTATCAAATACCAGAGGTATAAAGGTAAACACTTTGGGGTTTCTACTCTTAAGATGATTTCCATATACAATAAAGCTAAAATTGTGCCAGCACCATGTTGCAGAGTTTAGCACTGTACCATGGGAGCCAGATCCCACATGACCAACTGTAACACAAATCCCAGCCCTGGTGGCCTGGAAAACACACCAGGTACATGTGCATGCATGCCCAAAATCCTGACGGGAAGGAGAAATGGAGGAAAAAGGACTATGGTGTGAACATGCAACACTAGGGTGCATGCTCATTCTCTTTATGGTAAGCATACACTCTAGGAATTAAAAAAGAAAAAATAGGAGTACATGTAAGAAGAGGTGCTCTTAGCCTAACTCAAGGTTTCAGGGAAGAAGAAAATAAGTTATGGAGGATGAATAAGAGCTATCCAGTAAAATGTGAGAAGAGCACTCCTTGCACTGGCAAATGACATAAAGGCATGAGGGAAAACTATAAGTAATTAATACATTAACCAGCTGGTCCCATGGCCTACGGTTCAGGGAGCCAGATCCCACATGGCCAATGGCGTGGCTGGAATCCCAGCCCTGATAGCTTGGAAAACATACTAGGCTCATGTACATGTCTGCCCCAAATTCCAACAGGATGGAGATGGGACTATGATATGACCATGCCCCATTGGGAAAGTGCTTTCTCCCTCTCCTTCTCTCTCTGTCTCACTCTGGCAAGCATGCAGGCCCTCCAGCAGCTTAAAACACACATATATTCAAACCATGTAATTACAGAGAAAGAGACTGTGATGTGGATTAAGATGTTTTGACATTAACCCATAGGCAATGAGGAGACATTGAAAGGTTCAGGTAAAGGGGCCCTGTTTACCATGCACGAGTGGAAATACTGTCAGCTGACCAGAGGGTTAGGCTGAAAGCCACTAGTTAGAAGATTATCACAACTGCAGGCAAGACTCACTGGACAAGGAGGCTGGAGAGAAGAGGCTACATCAGATAAGAACTAGGTAATAAAACTGCCAAAAATAACTGACTGAATATGGGGAACTAAGGACATATACAAGTAAAAAGAAAGCAAAGTCTTCCAAAAAAAATCTTTATCAGACACCAAAGGATGTGTCACTTAAGTGTTTCAGTTTCTCATTAAGCTCCACTGTAGCCAAGTTGAGCTGGACTTCTACCTTGCTGGACTTGAGCATGGCCAGCTGTGGCGATCCTGGGGGGGTGCGATAAAGCAGCTCAGAGGTGAAGGCTGCGTTTGCGATCTGCATGCATTCTTCCAAGGTCTTCAGAAAAGTGTTGCAGGTTGATTTCAGCAGAGTTCCCACATCAATTCCCTCCTAAGAAACAACCAGAGTGGAAGACTCCTTTACCTTGCCAAAAAAGAAAAAGCCCAATTGTGGAATGTCCTTAGAGGTTTTTATCCACAAAATAATAATTTACCCACCTATTCTGCCAGACAAATATGTATTATTGGTTATAAGAGATTAAAAAACTGAGCAAGTCCACTTTATCTGTTGGCCGTGCACAAGTGTGGCCATCAATCTGACCCTTCCTGCTCACCCCCCAGCTCCAGCTAAAGGCAACGATTTCTTTCAACTCAACAATATTAAATGGTCGCCTGCGCCAGCTGCTGGGCACAGAGTTCTCATGGGGTTTCCAGCAAATCAGTCATTACTTGCTCTCAGTACATAAGAGTCCAAGAGGTTTCAGCAACTGGAATCCCTGAGAACACCTAGTCAATCATTTTCTTTCAAGTTATTTTACTTGTTCAGGGTTTTTTTTCCCCTCTGGATATTGGTATCGATAAGTTGTTCAGGAAACTGAGGCCACACACTGACTAGGGAGAGAGGAGACCACATCTTAGCAGCCTCTGTATGTTCCTCAACTTCTGATTTCTAATAAGCTACCAGGGGATGTTGCTGGCAGGGTAGGAGTGGGAGGCTTTTCATCAGGCTTTCTCCCTTGGCACCACTGACATTTGTTTGCTAGTTAAATTTTCAGACGTGTGTGTGCAGGGTGAGGTGGGGGTGTTGCTCTTCTGCATTGCAAGATCAGCTAAGCAGCATCCCTAGCCTTTACCTACTTGATCCCGGAAACTCTCTCACTCACGGCAACCAAAACTGTCTGCAGACATTGCCGAACATCGCCTGGAGAACACAACTGCTCTGGGTTAAGAATCACTGATCTAGATTACAAACTCTGCAGGAGCAAGACTGAAATGTTTTTTTTTTGGCTCCCCCACCTTTGCTCTCCCTATACAGTATCTTACACAATAGCTATTAAATAAATAAGAAAGCTCAAAAGGAAGCGCATGAAAGGAAGTTAAATCACTTTTATTAAGAAAACCTCAAAGCACATGCAACTACTAGTAGCACAGTATTCTACTACCTAAGAAAATGAATTAAATCGGTAAGTATAATTTGCAGATTCTTCACATTATAGGCACCGTTCATCAGACCATATCTTCTGAGAGTAAAGCAGGGACCCTCTCTAGTTAATGTAGGCCATTCAATACATAACTCAACACAGAGATCCTTAAATACATGTTCTAGGATGTGTAAATGACAACTTTATTAAGAAATGTTAAAATGATAATCCTTGCTGATGATGGAGAGTAAAAAAGCTTATGTCTCTGTTTTTGAAAGCACTAGTCTATTCAAAAGCACATTAATTCCTACAGTGAAATAAACCCTGCTATTTCCATCAAAGGTGAGAGCTACACATCACTGACAGACGCTACGTTGGCATCTCAGCAGCCATACCGTTTCTGTAGCAGCTCTGTAAGTCAGGTAAGATGGTACTTTATAAAACGGATGCAGGTCCAGCTGCGGTGACACATAGATAGTGCCACCACGTAGGAGGCTGGAAGATCCGGGTTCAGTTCCTGAGCCAGACTGAACACACAGTGTTATAGGCGCCTGCAACTATAATCCTAGCTAACTGGGAGGCTGGGGTATGAAGAGAGTGACATGATTAGATCCTGGCAAAGATACAAATACCTTTCTCAGTTTCGCTCCTTCCTCCCTCCTCCCCATAGAGGAGGAAAAGAAAAACTGATTCAAGTAGAGGAGAAACATATTTTAGAACATTAGTACTACAGAGAAAGATTCCAAGTGTTATCAATTAATTAATTCTGAATTCATTTCCAAGGAGGAAAAATGATATGCTGAAATGTATACATTTCTTCTTGTTGAAGTTTACTTTTTTCCCTCTAAAAATATAGTAAGTTCCATGATAATTAGATTATATGACAGTATCACCTACAAACAATCTGATTCTTAATTTATAATTACACTTTTCATATATAGTATTAATAATATTAGTAAAATGGTATTTTACCTCAGAATTGGACACGCCAGTTGTGGTCACTTCTTTTGTTTTATCTACTTGCTGAACAAGAAGGTCACAGTAGAGTCTTAGTTCTGACATTTTGGTTTTCAGGTTTTCAGTGTTTTCAGCAAACTCTACATAAAATGATGAAAATGTAGTTACCAGAACGATAGAGAAGTAGACTGTATGACCTCTGCTTCAAGTCAGATGTTTATAGCATGGGTTAGGGATGTGACACAGGTGATGATATGGAAGAAAAAAAAACAAAACAGAAAAATACTGTTTCTAGTCTTTGAAGTATATGCCTTATTTCTGGGGACAACAGTTTGAATAATCATTAGCACAGGAGGAAGGACACAACATTTTGTCAGACCCCTTCCTGCATAGTCCAGAGTTTTGGTTCTGGTACTGCAACATGGAGTTTTCCCTAGCTGTAAAATAGGGTCACTGCTATCCACCTTCCACTGCAGTGTCTCACACATTCCTGGAAAACAGTGTTGTGATGTCCAATCCCCATTAAGAACACCGTGCATCATCATGGAGGAGGACTGGTTCTGCATGTTGCCTGTCAAGGCCAATGGCACCAGACATTATGAGCAAGGCACTCCAGGCACCCTGGGCCCGAGGCTCATCTACAATGATTACTGCCTCTGTTCTTTTCTTCATTAAAACACTGCACATTACCACCTGCTCAATCTAAGCCAATAGCTTCTAGAATTTGTTACTGATTTAGCATTTTATTATTAGTTATTGTTGTTAATCTCTCTCTTTTCAAAAAGTTTTTGTTACAGGGTATGTGTGCTCGCTAGTAAGAGACAGAAGGGAGAGAGAGAGGGAAAGTGAGAAACACTATATCACAATATACTTGAAGTAGTAAGTCTTTACCTATCTAGACCCCGTGTCAGCTCATCTCTGAAACATTGGAAAAGCCTGAGGGACTAGCAGATGGCTTAAAGGTTACGTCACTGGATTCCCACATAGTTGATTGCGGTTTTTCGGACCTGGTGGCTTAAAACTCAGGCTTGGTGGGTGTACGTACACGCCCAAAATCCCGAGAGGGGAGTGGAGGAGAAGGAATTTAGCATTAAAAGTAAACAATAAGAAACTGCCCCAAAATTTGAGAATAATATACAAAAAATACTAGATACTATCAAATGTCCAAACATCCAGATAATTGGCATCCCAGAAGGTGAAGAGACTCATAAGGGCATTGATAATCTATTCCATGAAATCCTGGAAGAAAGCTTTCCAAAGCTAGAGCGGCACTCAAAGATCTAGTCCCAAGAAATACAAAGGACCTCAAATAGAATCAACCCAAGAAGATCTTCTCCGAGATACATTAAAGCCAGACTGACCAAAACTGCAGACAAAGGCAAGATACTAAGATTGGCAAGAGAGAAACGGCAAGTTACCTACAAAGGATATCCCATCAGACTAACAGCAGACCTCTCATCGGAAACAATGCAAGCAAGGAAAAAATGGGAAAATATATTCAAAGTGTTAAAGGAAAAGCAATTTCAACCAAGAATACTGTACCTGGCAAGATTATTCTTCATATGGGAAGAAAAGACAAGAACATTCTCAGGTAAACAAAACCTGAAAGAATTTCCAGAACAGATCTCCAAGAAGTTCTCAAGGGAGTGCTATATCAGGAAAATTAAATGCAGACACACAGAAAAGAGTTCAAAAACTAAGAAAATGGCCTACTTAATTGTAGGGACAAGTCTGGAGTTGAATATTATAGTTATATAATAATATAATATAACTGGAGTTATATATTTATTATAGTTGAATTCAATCGGGAAGATCGAACCACAACAGAAGATAAAGTATATGAGACTGAACTGGTGAAATAGCATTCTGTGACTTTTGACTAAAATATTGCTGCT